TCTGCAGCAGCAGCCACTCAAGCTGGTGGCACTTGTGTTCATGGGTCTCCACAGGTCACCGCTTTGCCAACAGCCAGTTTTCAGGAACACCCAGCTTCCCGTGCCCTCCTTGCCTCTGCTAAAGCGCTGCTGCCGGGCTGTAGCCATTTGCAAGTTCCCCTCACCCCCTCCTTGGCGCTACTTTCCGCATGCCACGCTGATGCTGGATGCAGCCCCCAGGAGGTCATCTGCCAAACCCTGGCACGCTTCAGATCCAGCTTCCTCCTACAGGTAACTGGTACCCTGAGTGTTGCACCTGGAGGTCCCGATCAGATTACGGTGCCACGTGGATGCAGTTACAAAGACTACTGCACCCTCAAAGCTCTTACTTAGGAACACGATGCTTTTGTAAGTCCATTGCAACTACCTGCTGCAATGAACTGTGTGTCCTGAGATTGCACTTGATCTTTCATTTACACCAAGGGAAACAAGACCAAAGAAATTAAATGAACTCGTGCTTTGATAGGTTTATCTGTTTTATTAGTTCAATAAAAATAAATGTTTGTTACATTTCCTGTTATTAAATATATATATATACACACAATAGCTTTTCACTCAAAGATACAAAATTAATAGAAATCAAAGGTTTCTGTTCATAATCTACTTGCGGAAAACAAATTCATAGCGGGACTCAAGCTTCACTGGATTCAACTATATGTTGTCTGCAGTGATGCAGATGAAAGGCATGAAACTATCATACACTCTGCAATGAAAAATTTGTCAAGTCACTGTCTTATTGGCTGACCTACAGGTTTACGGTTGATTTTTAGAAATTAATCTTTATCATACACAAGTTGTATTAGATTTAATGGGAAGGAGTGTATCACTGGATTTCGTTCTATTCCACGCCAGGAGGCATCCATCCTCGTGGTTGATTTAGGCACCTTTTTTCTTTGTTTGTCACTCAATTGTGAAAGGTGACACCACAGAGGATCAAGCTCTCGTCAAGTTTTCATCCTGTTCTTTCTTCCTCAAGATAGCCCACCTATTGCTTACTGGCCACCATTTTTCGAATTGTGTGATTTGCTAGGGCCAACTCCTGCAGTCTTTACACGAGGAAAATTCTCATAGACCTCACCGAGTGTGTATCCTACATAACACCCGCCAAAGACAGGGCTTCGCAAGGAAGTGCAAAATTGCTGGGATAATTTACTTTTCCTTTTGTTCCATACCAGCCCTTTCTTAATTCGTAAATCTACTTTAATCTGCATGGAGAATCTCGGCATTTTTGCATGAACACTTGTATGTTGGAAAGAAAGAACACAGTTACAGTAAGAGAAAAGAACACGGGTAATCAGAAGGAGGTTTGAGCATCACTCCTCGTTGGGATCATAGTGCAATCGTAAACTGTTAGAAGAGCATGCACTTGCTGTGGCCACATTACACCGTTTTCTTCTATTGGCTGTCAAAGCAGTTCTCAAGCTCTTTGCAGGGTAATGACACACCACTGATTCTCACTCTTGTGTCTTCCAGAGGACCAGGCAATAAAGAGATAGGATACGGCAAAAGCATCTGAAAGGAGAAAAGGAACCAGTGTGGCTCTAGTAGGAGATCTGCTACAAGTCAAAGACAAAACAAGAGCTGAAGTGAGGGGTGGAAGGTAACAGTATGATCACCAGGTGTCGAGAACAGAAGTGGACTGGGCAGCTGGACAGCACGTGTAGAGGCTGGAGGAAAGGATATGGGTGGTGGGCAACCTGCTGAAGGGAGCAGGCAACTTCCTACTGCATGTCTATGTAAGCCACGCCGCAGTTGCCACGGGGATGCTGCCACTTACAAATGGGCAGAAACAGGGAAAGAAGTACGTGGGTGCTATGAAAGGTTCGTTGGCCTTTGTCGGAGCCTACCTGTCTTTTATTATAATGTCTACTGCCCACTCTACTGCAGTTGTGCTGCTCCTGAGACCTCTCCTCTGAACAACTTTCTTGTTGCGGGGCAGGACACAACCTGCTCTGGGGTTCTCTCAGGGAACCGATAAATCCCTTGACAGAGAAGCACAGATACAGCAAGGCTGTCCTCAAGTTTTTTCATGTTAAAAAATAATACTGGTTATTCAACAGTGTTGCTATTTTTTATGCTACTCTGTTCAGAGAGAAAGGCAGTCCTCTGAGAGGCTTACAGTCTACATTTAGAAGAAGATGAGTCACAGGCAGGGAAAGGGACTCACTGGAAGGGAAAGAATTATACAAAGGTCAAGTGAGGGGTTTTGGATCTCTTGCTTACGGTCATCACGCATTCCTGGGCAACGGGCATATCCCCCTTTTCAGGGTTAATCCTGGTCTCCCCACGAGCTTTGCTAGTCTGTTCCCATTCCCCATAAGCTGCTGCAAAGCCCAAAGGAACACCCAGTCAGCTGAGCTGATGGAATAGACGGGCATTTTGAATGAACTCACACATCAACGTGCACACACATGTATATGAGGATACCTTGCCAAGGGCCCAGAGATCTACATTTCCACAGCATCTTTCATCAGTTCAGGCATGTAGTCAGTTCCAGATGACTGCAGATGCAATCTGGTTCAGGGTGGTGATGCAAGCTTCGATCAACCCACAACTCAGCTGTATTGCTCCATCGCATGGAAGGTGGCCAAACTGTATGGCAGATTGCAAGAGAGACAAAAGAGAAAGTATTTAGGAAAGCTGAAGGAGTAAAGACATGCACAAGTAAAAAAGCAACAGTAAATAAAAATGAACAAAACCCAAGGATGTAGGACTGCAGAGAGGAAGGCATCAAAAGGAAACATAAAGAAAGCAAAAATATGGCAGAGAGGCGAAATAAAATGCAATGAATAGGGGATAAAAGAGCACCCAGTAAGTTTTTATCAAGTTTTTCTGTGACTTTGCTGCCACAAGTACCTCACGAGCAATCACGCATCTCAGTGAGACCACATTCCCACATCTCGCACGTACACCCTCCCTCCTGCCCCGCTCTCCCAGTACCTGAGGAAGACACCTCTTACTACAAGCCCACGGATGAGAACCAAAGTCAGTTCGCACGCAGCGAGGTGTGCGGCCAGGGGGTCTCAGCACTTGGGAGGCCGCAGCGCTGGGATCCCCTCCTCACCCCGGCCTGCCTAGCCCAGCCGGCAGTGCCATCTTCCCTGCAGCAACCCTGAGAGCAGGATGGGGAACTGCTGGTTATCAGCGATGTGTCACTTTTTTCCTGCCACTGAGAAGAGGTGTAGTCATTTGTTTCATTAAATGGCATTCTTGTACCCAGCGCTAATTTTATCCCTTTACAAATATGTTTTTCGTTCTAGCAAGTCAAGTGCAGCTCTCCCTCCTGTACAGTCATTCTGCTCTCATGCCTCTCTTACCATTACTCACACTTATTGCAGCGAGGCCAGATTCAATAAAGGGCCTGGCTGTTGCGGTGCTGAGCACTGCAGTGTGTCTTTGCCTAAATCCACAGCCCCAAATTTAGACACCCTGCCTCGGTGCATGCTGAAGGCAAAAAGTAGAATACCTGAGAATGGGACCTACACTGCCCATTCCGTTAAGTGAAGAACTCTACAGGAACCAGTCGGACATGCCAATAAATCTCTCAAGACCCCTCAAAGAGCAGTGGATCCTAACGCTGGGGTGAGGCAAGATACCTTGTGCGGAATTCCCTGTCCTGAGCCTTTTCTTAGGCACCTACTCCATCCCCTTGCCGGGGTCATGGTACCCCTCCACGGCCACATGCTATTTAGCACTCACCCAGGAAGTCAGGAACCCAGTTTTCCCTCCTCTACCTGAAAGGGCTTGCACCAGCGAAGTGTCGCAACAGCATAGCACAGACGTGTGCTGGGTGAGGTGCCCTCAGCTGAAGCTGTTACACAGCACACAGAATAACTGGTTTTCCATCAGCCACAATGATGGGAGGGAAAGCCAGCAGGACTGGAGGGGCTGGGGCAGATGTTCTCAGCCCCATCCCGTGCATAAATATTAAGCATGTGTTAAAAGCAGTGTATCTGGGCAACTCTGGAAGCAGATCTGTATGTATCCTCACTCCTGGCATGCTCCCCAGTAAGCAGGGGCTCGGGGATCTATGTTTTAGACTCGGGCCTTGACAGCAGCAGCAAGCTGGCTCTCGCCCTCAGCCCTTCCAGTACTCCTGTGAGCCTAACACAAGGCACCTCAGCACTTGTGAAGAAGGGGCACCCAACTCACCCAGGCACTGGACAAGCACAAAGAGCTGAGCGTCCCTGCTCTGCAGAGCTTACAGCAGCAGGTTGAGAGAAAGGGATGGAACCGGTACCCTTAAGCGCCCTAATAAATAAGCAAGCAAGCACAAATTTTGATTTGCGTGTCTCTCCATCCTGCAATCACATGCTTTTGACTATAGTTTCTACAAGAAGGACAGGAACTTGCAAACACAAGTCAGCTTTGTAACACAGGTCTTGGCTTTGCAATGGAGTCACCCGGGCATTTTAGGTTACCACACTGTGTAACAGAGTAACACTCCTTGTTTCTTAAATAAACCTTGCGTGTCAGCACCCTGTCCTTCTGCTTCAGGGATTAAAGTCCCAAATTTCTCAACAAAAAAACACTCCAGGCAAATGTAGCAATGGAAGCTGAACAGAACCTGAAGCAAGATAGTAATTGGCTTCTTAACTAGGTGAGTCTACAGATTGTGAATTTGAGATGCAACACAGATGCCCACTGCTCTTCACAAGAAGGTCCGTTTGATTCCCCTTAAGAACAACAGGAAACAACGCAAATGGCACTACAAACTTCTAGTACTTTATACAGGGATTTTTCACTTTTACCTACTATGGATTAACAGGTGAGTCTCTTATAAAATCTCAAAATTCCTCTTTTTGTTGCCACTCCCCCTTTAGAGTTCTCAGAAGCGATTACAATGGGGAGCTCCAGATCCTCTCATTGTGCAAACCAAGGAAAGGCTTGAGTAGGCCACATGTATAAAGTTTTGGGGTTTTTTTTAATGACCAGCAATGCTGGAAATCAAATATTTCTCAAAAAATGTTCTAAGAGTTCTGCATGCTGCAAATCCAAATGCAGCATGTGTTTAGTGGAGAGACATAATATGGGCTGTGGCAACAGAAGATTAACCTTCCTCAATCCTACAGCCCACTGAAATATATTGATTTTGAGCTGAAAATATCATCTGTAGAAACAAAATACTGTGTTCTCATTGTTTAATCCTTGATGTCTCTGCTACCTAGTTTCGTAACTGCAGATAAGTGTTACAGATACTTGTCCACATAAAATGAGCGAAGTTCAGGAATGCGTTGTCCCTCACGCCACTGCCAACACTCAGGGTCACCTTGCATGATGCATTCACTTTCAGACTTAGATGATGGACTACATTTGATAATAAACCTTTGTCTCTTCATCTCTAACCTATTGTTCATCTACTGCACTGTTTTATATACACTCAACCCTCTTCCACTGCATCCTTTTGTGGAGTATACTGAATGTGAGATTGTGCCTATAGCCTTCCCTCCACCCCCTTCCAATGCATCTATTGTCCCTGACACAGCCCGCCTGGCACGAGCTGGTTCATATCCATGGGGCAGGAATCACGCGACATTTCCTCTCTTCCACGTAACTACTTCACCTCTTCCATATCCCAGTGGACCAGCTTTACCATCTTATAGTTTAAAAAAAAAAAAATCATCCTCCTCAGTGTCTCCTTGGAGATCTGCTTGCCAGACAGTTCTGGTGCCCCTGCCATAACCTGGTACTTTTAGAAGACTTTATCTTGGCCACTCCCAGTATTTCATGAACATGAATTATGCTTTGAAGAATGCCCATTAAGTACAACCTATCACCTCTAGTTTGTACACGAGGAAATGTGAGGGCAGGGAGTTCACCTGGGACCCTACCAGGGACAGAAGTTGAGAGCAAAAAAAAAAAATCTGTTTCCTATCTTTAACACCCAGTTATACTTCCATACTTCTTTCTTCAAATTCTCCAAAATTCTTTAAAATGTCCAGCTTTCAGACTTCCTAAAGAGTTCTACCATTAAAGTTTTAACCATTAAAGCTAGCATTTTAAAAACACCCTGGGAGATTCGGTCATTCCCAGGATTGTACATTGCTCCCCATTACAACAAGGATTTGGATCCCAAGTACCCGTCATTGCAGATGGCTGCATTAACCATCAGCTTCAGAGACATGGCACTGTACTCCCTCCTGCCCAAACAGTAACGGTTCTTCCAACATGCACACTTGCTGAGGCACGCACAGAATTTGAAGTTCAGGTTTCTGTGTCTCACACCCTTGAACCTCTCATTTTGTGAGGCCCAGCCGCAGCCAAGCTGCTTTATGAGAGCTGGCAAGACAAACCCCCTACCCAACAGCAGTGGGGGAGTGCTGTGCTGGTACTGCTCACCAGTGCTACGCTCACGAGGACCTTGGCAGGCAGGACCTGAGGTCCCCTCACAGTCAGATGGCACCTGAGCAGGTGATTTGGGGGGGGCTAAGCTTTATCTTTAGATGCTGAGGGGGCACCTAGATGCTCTGGATGGTTATAGGAAAAGAAGTATTAAAGGTCAAAACTACTTTGGGGAATTTATGGTAGTAGAATGTTGCCTTGCCCAAACAGGTGAGGTCTGGCTTCTGTAACTCGATGCTTCTTTGTGCTTGACTGGGGGGAGAGCGAAACTCATTTTGCCTTAGTAATTTAAACCAAGCTGTCATCTACCTGAATACTACAATAAGAACATTAGCAATCATTTGGACTCTCCTGCCATGGAAACCCTTGAGACAGAAATGACCACCACCACTCCAAAACAAGTGCAAACAATAGTTTTACCCTACTTACTTGTTAGTTATTCTGCTTTGATTAAATTTTGAGAGAAGATTCTGTATATGAAGGCACTGCAGAAAACAAAATAAGTAGCACCAAAAGGTGGCACTTCCTTCCATCCGAGGATTTTCACAAGTTGGAAAGAGACCAGTGGAATGCCAAAATTCCTACTTCTTCTCTTGCTATTTCTATTCCTACAGACGCTGCTGTAACAACAACATCCAAGAGCTTTTGTACCAACTGTATGACCATTTTAGAGGTGCTGAGCTTCTCCACCACCACCACGGAAGGAGCTTATTGTTATCTCTCCTTTGACTGTTTTTTTCTTTCTGGGAATAAGAGGAAGTAAAATCTGTAAGACCAAAGACACCGTAATAATGTCCCCACCCAGAAGGCCAAGGGTGTAAATCACTATCCCTCTGGAGACATCAATGAAAATCTGCAGATTTACAGCAGCAATGACCTGGTTCCAAAGCATCCCTACAAATAATAATTAAAAACAAACAAACAACAGCAACAACAAAGAACCAATCCAAAAAAGCTGCTGCAGGATGCAGTGAGCCATCCCTGTCCCGATCTACTGCTACCAAACCAAGTTCTGGCATACTTTCATTTTTTCCACTGTGTAAGTTCCTAGCACTGTTATATATTGAGCTTCTGCTATGTTTACTCATCAGCCAGCCATAGACAGCAAAGCAGGAATATCTGTGTATATGCATGTGTATACGTCAGTATACATGTGTACACATTCCTCCCAGACTTGTAAAAAAACAGCAAAATGGATTTGTCCTACTCTTAATAACAGCACTAACACCTTATTTTTGTTTAATATTATTAGCTGTTTTGCTTTTGTTATTGAATCACGCAAATGCAATTATCAACCTTATCACATGAATGCTTCTCACTTCCATAAATTTGCTCTGCCCATCAGTAGTAGTTCAAGAGGTCTAATACAGCACAAGAGAATGAAAAACTGGTGACACTAGTGGAAGTGCCTCTTTTTGCGGCAGAAAGCCTTGTAGGGTGACACGGGCAAATCAGGTCAGAAAATTCACTTTTGCTGTAGTCATAACGCTGTTTTCCCACCATTTCACTGGGAAAGTCCATGAATTCCAATTCAAAAAGGTCAAGAAAAGGATAAGATAAAGCACCTGTTATGAGCAGGGATAATTTTCTTTAAAGAATGAGACTTACGACAAAAGAGAAAAACATTTTTCAGGAATCCAGGTTAAATAATGACCAAGCGTGTTTCATGCCATACTCATAGAATCACTTTACGGCCGCATTTCTGCCCTGTAAGCTTCAAGATTCTGTCTGTAGCCCACATCCCACCATCTATTACAGCGGAAGTGTGCAAGAAACCATTTAGAGGTAATATATATTTCTTTTTTTGTCTTCCAAGTCTTTCATACTGTATCCTACCAAATAAACCTTCCATTTTCACATGACTTGTTCACCCCTAGGGGGATGAAGGAAGTTTAATCCTTATAATCCATTCACTCCTCTAGTTCAGCAACCAGTGAAAATGCCACTGGTAGCACTTAACGCATACACCGATGATTAGATTGAGTCCATCACTTAATTTTCTATTGGTCACTGAGTGGGAAGTTACCTCCTTAAAACAAATTCTTTCTCTTTGAATAACCCACAACAGTTGTGGACTGAAAAATAAAATTAAAATGGATGGCTGAGCAACGACTGTTTAACTCCCTGCTTTGCGGAGATTTCCCAAATAGCAAAAATGCCAAGCAAAAGCCTGAAATGTCTGCCTAGAGTATGGCAGCCCTGCTGAAAATCAATGTTCTCTAATTTTAAGGTTCTCTGTTAATCCTTCAGTTAATTCTTTAATTGCTCCACAAAGACTTCTACAAAGAGCCCATCCAGGAGCAAGAAGTCAGGCAGCACCAAGTGAGTACACCTTCAACCAAGCCATACAGTTTGTCCACTCTCAGTGTTAAAGTCAACGAGGTAAAGAACATCGCTTCTCTTCTGCCAGCACAGTTCAGAGTGTGCAGGGGATAAGCAGTTGATAACAAATATAACCAAACTACTCTGCTTCTGGTAAGGGCCCGAAGAAGAGAACTTGATTAATGGAAAAGGAAATTAAGATGACAAAAACCAGCAGCGCTTTCAAAATGGGCCCACTGTAAATGTACATATCCACCTCAGAATCCATCGTACCAATGCACAAGAATGCAGAATTAAGGGAGGGGATATCCAGGATTCCCGAGTCAAATTGCCCACTACTATGCAGAACCAAATGTTGATGTTCTTTTCTAGATTTATCAAACTTCATTTTAAAAGATATTTAAACTTCTTTCTCATTTGAAAATGCTCCATAATATTGGTGGTCTGATAGTTAGAACTCTTCCTGTAATTTCCAGCAAACTGCGCTCATTATCCCCTTTATATGCAGTTGTTTTGCTTGTTTACTCTAACCTTGAGCTCACATAATTATTTTCCTCCCCTATATAAAAACCGTGTAATCGTTACTTTTGTGTCTTTCCGCTAACAGTCTCTCTATTCCTCTTAACACCCATGTGGTCCTTTTCTGCATCTGTTCCATCCATCTGTTTGAACCCATTTATCTAAACGTGAGTGATAATTGAGCTCCAGACAAGGTCTCACTAACGCCATATATTTTGACATTAATATTTTCTATACCTACAGGAAATCCCTCCCCTAATCATTTCTAGGACACCAGCTTTTCCTTATTTTCCTCAGCTACACCACATAGCAGCACGCTATCATTCTGCTGCTGACTACTACACCCACAACCAATTCACCACTACAGTGATGAGCTCTTCTGGAATAAATTGTGATTAGCTTCTATTTGCATCGCTAAATCTCATCTCATTCTAGTAATCTCAGTTTCGATTCATCTTGTTGGTACACAGGATATTCCAATCCTCCTCTCTATTGATACAGTCCACCAGTTTTGTGTCATAAGATTTTATCATCACAGTTCTACTTTTTCACTAGTGTCACTATGGAAAAAATTAAATAATTTCTAATACAGTCTTTGAAAAATCCAATTCGCAGCCTCCTTTCTGAATCAGTTTGTTCGCTTTCCACCTATTACCTGCCAGTGCATTTCCAAGTCACCTTACAGCGTAATTAATCCAAATTTTCTCCATTTTATATAATTTCCTCACAGGGTACAATACCAAATACTTTCCTGACAATGGAACATGTTAGATCTAGTGCATTTCCTCCGTCTAGAAAATCCTAGCACAAGGTAACAAGTTAGTCTGGCACAGTCTGGTTTTGCTAAAACTATGTTGCATTTCATCCCCCCTTTCATTTTCCTCTGTGTCTTTTATTTTGCCCTTCAAAAACTGCTCTACAACTAAGTGCACTATGGCGATTAGATCAGGTCATCTGTATTACAAACCTTGTTTTCCCATTGGGTACCCTCAACTATTTGGCCCCCTTTACACGTAGCTTCCACTGCTTACATAGTATTTAACGTTAGATTGTACATTTTTGGAAAGGGGATATATTGTATTTATTGTGCTAATGCACTTCCATTGCCAGTGAAATAAGAAAACAGAATCCAGTAAAATTAATTTCCTATTGAAGAACTGGAAAAGCAATGGCTCTTTTCAGATGGGAATAAAGTGGGCCATACGCCAGTAAGTTTAAAACACATTGCAATACGTTATTCACATTTTCCTTCTCTTGAACTTTTGTATTTTACTTCGTACTGGACTTACTGATTTTGTATCTCAAGTCACCTTCAACAGCTTAACTCTGCAACTCCAAACCACCAGGGGTTATAAAGCAGGCACTCAGACACTTACCCCTTTTTTGTGCCTACCCATCAGTTTCTTTCATAAGCGTATCAACTTTTTTTCCTCCACTACAGCAATACCTTCCCTAAAAAAAAAAAAAATTAATTTCTTTGCTATCTTTCTTCCGACAATTACACCCATCTGTATATACTTTAAGGACTCTGCTTCAGGTGATGATCACTGGCAAAATCTGACATGCTTTCTGACACAAACATAAAAATGTTTGTAGATCTCCTCACATACCTCCTCTCAGAGCTGAACTGTAATACGTGCAGTAGAAAACAAACCTATTGTGGCATACTTCCCTTTTTAGTTTTAGAAATAACACAACAGTGTTATTTCCTTTGCACATCTCCATTCATTAGTTAATAAATAAATTATGTTTTCTTCTGCACTTCAAGAGGATTGCTGTTACCAAGAAAAAGAAACTACCTAACAAGAATTTTTCCCCTTCCATCCCATGAGAAGTTTAAGCATGCTCAGCTCCAAGTTCAGCTAACTGCTGATGGATGGCACCACTATCTTTCAAGATTTGCTTTCAAAGACTAGGGAGGGAAAAAAAAAACCAAACGAAATTTACCAAATTCACTTCAGAATTATTTATTTCATATACTGTCATTTATCATTCCTTTCATACATAAAACAAGGTACCTCCAGCTAATTAGCAAATGCCTTTAAAACATCAGAACGTTTAACAAGAAGCGGATTTTGCACTTTGGGCTCACTACTAGCACAAATTAAGTTGACATGTAATATTTTTCCGCCTTTTTCTTCCCTCCCCACTTTGTCCTCAGAGAAAATACCTTGCTATCAGGTAGACTACCAAGTCCTGTTTGCTTCCTGGGTTTGTCCCTCCATAACTTCAACACGTGTCAGCACCTTCACGCACCTTAATTCTTCCCTTCACGTTACACTTTGGGCTCACTACTAGCACAAATTAAGTTGACATGTAATATTTTTCCGCCTTTTTCTTCCCTCCCCACTTTGTCCTCAGAGAAAATACCTTGCTATCAGGTAGACTACCAAGTCCTGTTTGCTTCCTGGGTTTGTCCCTCCATAACTTCAACACGTGTCAGCACCTTCACGCACCTTAATTCTTCCCTTCACGTTAAAAA